GGAGAAATCGTCCCCGTCGAGGTTACGTGTTCACTTATTCATAAAGCAATGCAAAAGTCCGGCAAGCCGCGTTTCCTTATCGACGGCTTTCCACGTAATAAAGATAACCTGGACGGATGGAATCGTGTGATGTCGGACAAATCAAAACTCTTGTTCGTATTATTCTTTGAATGTTCGCGAGATATATGCACAGAGAGGTGCCTAGGGCGGGGCGCGGCGGGCAGCGGCCGCTCCGATGACAATCTGGAGAGCTTGCAGAAGAGATTCAACACATATATAAACGACACCATGCCTATTATCAACCACTACGACGAGTTAGGTTTAGTGAAGAGGATAAATGCTGAGTCGGTTCCTGAGGAAGTGTTCCAAGGAGTCAAGAAAGCGTTTGATGGCGCCGGACTCCACAGGATAGCTAATTAAATGCAGTATGCTTAGACCAATGTTTGAATAATTGTGTCATTATTTGCTAAGATATGTTGCTCTTAGAGTCCATCGGCACATCTCTAGAGGCCATGAGTTTAGATTAAGATTTAAATTTGCTGAACTTTGCAAGTCTAAGAAGAAATATCCCGGCAACATACCAACTATCTATATACACATTATTTATATCAAACTATTATTTTTAATTCCTATAAATTATTACTTTATTGATTGTATTTTATGTTTAAAATTACTATCATTGTATTATTATGTAAAAAAAACTTGAGGTTGTTGCATTTTAAATTCATGTGATTTAAATTAAGAAATATTCCTAAACACCAAATTATCTCTCTTAGTCAATTTGTAAATTATTTTTTGATATCTATAAAATGGAGTTAGTCACAATTATTGTTTACGGTTTACAATATAAGTTGAAATGTAAGGAGATACATAGTGAATGAAATGACATTTATTTAAAATAAATGTAAAATAGAAAAAAACATCTTTTGTTCTATGTTCTAGACACTGGTGTGATGTGGCATTTTTCAATTAATTATGTAATAATGCTGATTCATGATTAGCAATATTCTTAACAATATAAAACTTACTGTCAATATCATGATACCAAACATGCATTATGATTAAATACATATTTAGAAAATTTTTGGCATAAACATAAAATTCTCAACTTGAATTTTTCAAGGTCATTACTCATAGATGCTTTATTATAAAACTAATTTTAAGGTCATTTTTTCGTTGCATTTAGATATATAATTATCGTGACTATGAAATAGCCATTGTCATTTCATAACCTTGGTTTAAAATAACATAATTTAAATCTGATTTCAATGTAAAGATAAACATATCTTTATAAGCAATATGTAAAGTAATACATTTACTTGTTTCTGAACGTTGTTTTTTCAAATTGGTTCAGTAGATTTTTTTCTCAATTATCAAATATATTTCAATGTCAGGATTGTTTCCTATATTTATTTTCAGAGAGTTAGAAAAGCTTAATAGTAATAGCCATCCATTAGATTAATAAACAAGGTGTTGGCAGCTCTGTGATTTTTTTTAATGTTGCATAATTTTATTTCAACTTCAAGCAAAGCTTTTTTTCGCCGTTAAATCCACCGATAATATTAAATGTTTATTTAATAACCAGTTCACTGAAACAGTGCAAATAAAGATATTCGTGAGTGTTACAACTTGTTTTATTACCTAATATTCATTAGCGATAAATAGTCGCTTTTGTATATGTCATTTTAGCTGAGGTTTTTTATTTCTTTTTTTAGGAAGGGGTGCAAACAAACAAAGGATCTTTTATTACTTGATCCGACACCATCAGCTTTGTTTACAAGACAGTTTAAATTCAAAATTAATAACGGATGCAATGTCCGCTTTGGTATGTTTGAAAGGACTTCAACTTCTCTCTCTACTTTGCTTTCTTGACTTTATTCCTTTTGTCGCATCAGACAGAATCCAAACGACAAAATAATAAGCATAACTTTAGCGAATTAGTTTACCGTTCCTCGCCCTCATGATAAAACGAAAAAATCGTTTTTTAACCTTTCACAGAACAATAAAACGAAAAATCGAGTTGCGATACGGGTTTTTGAACCCTAAACTATTTCAAAAACCGGTCTTATCGCTCTGGAAACCGGTTGCAATTTAAATCAAAAATGGCAAAGATGAGAAAAATTAAATGAATTGGCAACAAGCCAACAAGGTCTGCGTTGTATAGAAAATTGTGAATATTTCTCGTAACTAGAAATAGAAACGTGATACTAAGAGAATATGATTGTTAAAAGTACGAAGGTCACACGGAAGCTTACGAGAAAGGTAACCTTCGGACATGGCTGTTTGCATATACACGGCAAAAATAATAAAAAGTGTGTTTTTAAAATTGGACGACCATTGACCTTAATTAAATATCTTGCGAAGACTTGAAAGGAAGGTTAATCGGCTTAAACTCAGACTTGAAACCTCAAACAATGACTCAATAATAATAATATGGGGGATTTAGTTACATGTTCTAACATGTTATCCATGGAATTATACGTTGTTAGTACTATTTTAGAGATTTTATCTAGGCATTATAAAACCATTTAATTCATATGACCGCAACATGTCAACACATGAAAGTAAAAGTTAAGATTTATAGGATAGCTTTGAAAGTGAAATTTAGAGACGCAGTCATTATTATGCTCCACTCGGATTCGCAACTTCGTGATGTGAACGAGGTCTTGGAATAAAAAACCGTGATTCAACTATGGTAAGTATGGGCGTCATTACCGAGGGGGATAGGGTACCCTCCCTAGCGACAACAAAAATGTGAAAAAGATATAAATCTCGTAGAAAACATTAACAATGGTAACTTCCTTTAACTCAGCCCAGATCATCGACTGGTGAAGTTCGTGCAAATACTTTCGTAATATATGAAAACTCTGCTTACCCTTAGGTTAGAAGTATTGTGTGAATCATCCATCAATAAGTCAACTTGTACTGATTATAATGTGCGCATTTTGTAGTATTCATTGAAATGACGCCTAAACTCGTTTTGTTATCGTGTATTTTTATATAATAAAAAAAAACTATTTTCAGTTAAATATTATTTTCAACAGCGGAAACTCGTCAAAAATAGTGAAATTCGATCATTAAAGGTATTTAAAACAGGGGAAAAATTAAAGAAATTCGCAATATTCATTTATTAAAAGCTAAACAAAGAATAGAGTAAATACAGTCTTATATAAATTCATATAAACAACATAATAAGTACATAGGACGAATACAGTGCTTAATTACAATAACTTACCTCCTAATACATTGTGTACAAACATGCTAATAATCGTGAAATAAATATAAAAAAAAATATTAATAATGTCAACATAGATCTCTATGTACTATAATTTATATAAGATAAATAATAAATAAAATAAAACTAGATAAATAACAAATCAGAAAAAATATTCGAACATCTACAAAGCAGGAATTTTTATTGAAAATACAAAAGTAAAAATAATTTAGAGTAGATTTAATGACAAAATCTACAAAAAAATTGTCACAAAATTAAAAGATTCTATGTTGACAATAAAAAAGTGCAAAGTGAACAAAAACCCAAAACCTGAAAAAAATATTTAACCATAAAAAAACATTTTAATAAGAAAATGAAGAGACAGTCCAACTACAGTCAAAGAATTAATTCCCTAACCAATTATGTTAATATCATGCAGTAAAGAAAACCAAAAATAATATCGACATAATCTTGTCAAACAATATTTTTACATAGTGAATAGGAAATCAACGTCCTCGACTGTACATCAAAACTCAATGAGAAAAAAAACGAATAAAAAATGAAACAAAAATAAATGAAATGTTTATGACATTTTTGTGATTTAATTAATTTTATTTATGTAATTAAAATGAAAATGTATCAAAATTGTTATCATTCTATTAATGTATTCAGATCACATCTCCTTCAGATATTTATATTAAAAAAAAAAACTACGTACATAGAAAATAAAATCAAAAAGACTCTGAGGCACAATTTTTTTAAACTATTAAAAATTACATTAATTTAGCGTGGATTACCATTGAAGCGCTAGCACAAAAAGGGTTGTTTAAAAGAGAAAGTTTCTGCAGTAAAAATCCACTTTAACATATTAATAACTGGTTACAGTACAATTTAAAAATTATAGAATAAAATCCAGTTACAGTAAAAAGTGGTTCTTTTTAATTGTCGTATTTTTTTGTGTTTAAATTTATTTCAAATTTTAAATACAATCTACATTCTAAAAGCATTTTTTTTAGTAAATCTATTATTTTATCCCTATTGGGGTAAAAAGCATTACTATATATATAGTCAATTATCCCAGTTTAGGTAAACCAGCCTCACTAAGCGCGCAATATTTATGAAATAATTTGTACAAGCCGATTAGACGCATTTATCACAGTTTTCATAAATAAAATACTGAATGAATTTTCTTTATAAATTGCATCTTATTCTCATGGGAATAAGATTGATTTTTAAATAATGTTTACCATAAGAGCACTTTGTTAAAAATGGTTTAGGATAGGCTCAAAATAGACTTTATTTACGCAGTTTAGTTTCAACCTTATGTATAATATTAATAAGACCTAAAATACTAAAGCCTTATTTTGGAATGCTTTTCAATAAGTATTTTATTCGTAGTACAAAATTGTATTGAAATTTTCAAATATCTCGGCGGTTTCGATTGTTGTATACGCCGGTGAGATATTTGAAAAGAAGTATACAATAAGTAAATTTTCGTATCAAATATATCTTTTTAATTAGAACATATCAAAGTTTCTAAACGATTCCTAGAAAAATTTACTTTCTCTCACTATTTCAGAAGTGGTAATTGTATAGATGTTTTCAAATATATTTATAGCTCGGAACAACACGTGCCTTTAGCCGATAAGATATTTCAAACGGCCTATTTTGAACATTACATTATTAGCTGTATAATAATTATTGTTTGGTTTAAATTAATACTGCACAATTAACATACAATAGGCCTCATTTAGACCACTTCACACCAGGTGGGATTGTGGTCAAATATTCATTTAAATTTATTACAAAAGGTGGCCTTTACCAAGCAATGAGATAAATTGCTGTGTTCTGCATATAATATAAAATATAAAATATCGGGTGTGGTCTTGAAAACCATAATTTTAAACATTCAAGCGCAGAAGTGGCTTTCGATTTGACATAAGCTAAAACACCAAGAGTGTGGTCCTGGTCTTCAAGACAATAAATCGATCAAAGCTTAAACATCTTTAAGATTCGAAAGAAGCGTGGTCTTTAAGACAATACGTTAGGACCACTGTTGGATATCGTGGTCTTAATCTTAGTGACGAAGACCGCGAATAGAATTATATAGACTCGTGGTCTATGGTTTACATGGTATGAGGTACGAAGACCTGGACATAACTCACGGTAACCCATAAATCAGATCGTATATACTCGTGGTCTTCAGTCTTGGTATCAGTAATGAAGACCTGGTCATAATTTTACACTGGTGTGGCGCGTACTTCTTGGTCTTCTGTCTCCTTAGCGAAGGCTAGAAAGACCTCCTCCAGCGTGGTCTCGGAGACAGAGTAGTCTTCAACGATGGCGTTGTCTCGCTTGAGGCCCTCCAGCTCGTTGAAGAGCTCGCTGTAGCGCATCGTGTCGTTGATGTGATAGTGTAACATTGTCTGTGAGTAGGTAAATTAAATTAGAAGTAATGAATATTGTAAACGATAGAGAAATATAAAAAATTGCAAAAAATCTATCTTTTTGCAATTTTTTTTTTAAAAATTGGGTTTAAATAAATGAAATGTATATTGAAAACGCTTTTATTTTTAAACAATTTTATGTTACTTGCGACTTTATCTGCGTGTAAATCAAAACACTGACTCACTGATTACGTAATTTTTTAATGGTGATCGAATTTTTAAATCGGCCCAGTAATTTTTGAGTTATTTCAATACATACAAAAATACAATTCTTTCCTCTTTATGATATTAGTATAGACAAATATTTCTTATGTTTCTTGTAAGAATGAAGTACCTTGTGCTCGTCCTTCAGTTCGCAGTTGAACTTCTGATGCAGCTCCGACTTGAGCCGCTGCAGCTCCGACACGCCGCCGTCAGTCACTGAACACAATAGAATCATTATTGCACATATTTACAGACAATGTAATTTATTTATATTTACAATACAAAACTTAGTGTCTTCATAAAATAAAAAAACCAGATGAAACGAAAAAATCAATTCGCGTGAAAACATTGCCCTCCTAAGACATTTTAGTAACTATGATCTTTAGTTCTCTTTTTTGACAATTTTAACCTAGCGTGTTCTGCGAAGAATAAAATCTTATAGTGTGTCTAAATAATTTAGATTAGTTTGATAATTCATTTCAAACTTAGTAGGGATGGGTTGAATAAAATCAGTCATTAATCTTATCGATTTTCGATTCTTATTCTTATAGAAGTTGCAATCGATAGATTTATAGATATAACATATGAATTAAAAAACACTGTTTTCTTATATTAATAATAACCATTACAAATAATGAGAGTAAATAAATGTTTATTACTACTACAGGCGTACGTAATCGAATTGGATTTCGCTATTATTTCTGTCATCGTTAAATTCTCTATCAATATCAATACTAGAATTGTTCTCTATAAATTATTTAATAAGAAAATTATAATTTCAGTTGAGTTTTCAATTATTAGATAGAATATCTATAGTTTATAATTGTTCGCTGCGTGTTCGTCACTACGATACCTGTCTATTAAGTACGGCATTTGCCTTCATACAAATTGAATTCGATATTTCATATGCGTCATTTATCAAATTAATATATTGTTACAAAATAATAGAAACGGAAGTAGTAGTGGGGTGCAGTTTTACAAAAGTCTTTGCAAGGAGTGAGGCGCCCTTAGTCGCTTAGTCGTTTAGTCCTTGCCCCTTAGTCAGTTGCACTCAGTCGCTCAGTCGCTAACAAGCTCTGTAGCCGTCAGTAGCTCAGCACATTTCTAGTCGTCACCACGGAACATTCGATATGTTTTACGTAGTTGCCTTAGTGTATTCGTTTTATAATAATTCACCAGTATTGCTCATATTGCCGCTCGACTGTCATATTTTTTAAAAAGTCATTCGTATTGAAATTTCTAACAATATGTTATTTAGACAAATTATACGTAGTTGT